AAGAAATACTTAATAAATTTTCTTCAACTTTTATAGATCCACAATCTTCAGCCAGAATTATTGTTTATTATAATATTACTCAAATCTCTAAACCAACTATTGCAAACTTTAAAAGAAATCTAAAGAAATCATATCTTGACCAAACAAACCAATACTTAATTAAAAAGTTCAAGATTTCTGATCCTACTATATCATATTCAGACTTTATTGCTACCAATTTCAATACTTAACAACAACAACAACAACAACAAAAACAACAACAACTAATCAGCTCTTCTACAAAATCTAAAATGGTCACAAATTCTAACACTCAACAATGACAACTACTACAACAACCAAAACAACAAGTACAACAACAACAACAACAACAACAATCGATTAGTTTTACTACAAAATCTAAAACTTTTAAAACTAACAAACAGCAACAATATCATTCTAATAATCTACTACAAAATTTACAATCTCTAATATTAATGAAAGTCTCTTTCTAATTTAAAACTTACTTTATATTTTATACTTTAAAACTTTAACTATATACCTCTATATATTCTTTTATCTTTTATACACTTTATAACTTTACATACTAAATATAGCCTAGTATTTCTCTTTATACTCTATAACTTTATACTATTAAATATACAAATCTTATCATTTAGCATTACTTTTAAATTCATTCAATTAAATACTCTATTTACTCTATATTTTATTTTTTTTTTCTTAAAAAAATCTAGGTGAGTCTTTGACCACTCTAGTAGGTTTAGGTCGTAGATAAAGTAGTCTGAGCTTTTATTCTTGCATGTAGTTTTTACTTTTTATATTTTATATATTAAGGTTAGCAACTTCTTGTAGTTACTATAATAAAAACTATTAATAAATTAATAAAGTATGAGCAAGGCCTCACTTTAATACCAAAAAAAAAAAATTATTAGAGATTTTATTAAAATTAGCCTAGATGATTTTGTTAAAAATCATTCAAAATATTATCATGAGATATATAAACAATGATTATTATTGATAACCTTGCTTTTTTTTTATATATTTGACTAACTCACTCTTTCTTTTTTTCAGGTTACAGCCACCATAGTTGGAGTCGCTATTATCGTAGTTGGAGAAATGCTAGTGAGTTGCTGTCTTTGTGACTGAAGTAATTACTAATGAGTTATTGTCATTGGTGTCTTAGTTTGAATATAGATTTCATTGTGTTTGGCTTGAATGTTCTAGTTTAAGGATTTTAGAAAAATATGAACTTTGTTATTTCGATTTAAATACATTTTACTAACACTTCTTTTTATTTCAGGTATTTTCAAGAATATTTTCTAGTTTTTCGTTTAGGCATTTAGGAAAGTGTAGTTTCTTTAAACATTCCAGTTTAAGAATTTTAGAAGAGTATGAACTTTGTCGTTTTGAATTTGAATGTATTCACTAACACATCTTTCTTTCTAGACATTCTAAGGATGTTTCTAGTTTTTCATTCTGACTTTTGGACATCCAGGAAAGTATAGTTTTGCTACTTGTTGTTTTGACGTTTACAGTAGCTAATATTTTTTTTCAGGTGTTGAACATATGCAACTTCAGGTTAGGTTGTTCTTTCTTGTAGTTTTTTGGAGTACTTTAGGGCATATGTTTCTTTTTGATTGTATATTTTTGTTTTTGTTCTATTAACTAATATTTTTCATCTTTTTTAGAATGTTGCTTATCACTTTCTAGTATTATTACAGAAATATTCTCATTGTTGGTGTTATCATTATTGGATGGAAAAATATTTTCATCATTAACATCATCATTAATGAAGTGGTAAAATACTCTTATTATTGGTGTCATCATTATTGGAGTAATAGAATGTTTTTGTTGTTGACATTTTCGCTATTAGAGCGATGAAATCTTCTTATTGTTAATGCATCATTATTGAAGTTGCGAAATATTACCATTGTTGGTAGCAGTTGTTAAGTTTAGAGTAATTTTAGTTGGCTCTACTACAAAATCCCAATGCTCAAAATCCTAACACTCAAAATCCTGATATCAAAATCTTGACATTATAGATCTCCAACATTACTAAAATCCTGATTCTACCAAAATCCTAACACTACAAAATACTAAAATTCCAATACTAAAAAAATCTCGGCACTACAAAAATCCTGACACTTCTGAAATCCTGTTTACTAAAATTCCAATACATAAAATCCTGATACTACAAAAATCCTGACACTACAAAAATCTTGACACTACAAAAATCATGATACTACTATACTATTAAATCCTCTGATATTACCAGTTATACCAATCATTACAGCTGTTGTCATAAATTCACTAAATGATTTTTTGGCTGATTCGAATAATTTTATTATTGTAAGGTAGATGTGCACTAAAATCAGAGACGTAGACCATAATATTTATAATTATATACTAATTCTTACATTATATATTATAAAGCTTTTGATTGAATAAATGTATACCCTCATTTAAGACTGCAAATTCATTATTTGAATTAGATTCGTTTAAATCATTGGCTGTATTATTCTTTGGGTGTATCTTATTTTTAGAATAATCTTGAGTGTCTAAGAATGAGAAAATTTTTAATAAATTTCCAATAATTAACCTATTAAATATAATATAAATATTCTACCAAGATTATCTTTGTTTGATTTATCATGATTATAATTTGTTATATTATCTTTCAGATGTTTATTTTCAGAAGTAATTTGATTACATAAAAAAAAGTTTTAATAAATTGCAAATAACTAATCTACAGAATATAAAGTAAATATATTACTAAAATTATTGCTGTATGATTCATCATGATTATAACTGTCATTCGTATCATCTTTTGGATATATATTATTTTCAAAATCAACTTGATTATCTAAATTATAACAAAATTAAATAAATCTTAAATATAAAATAAATAGCCTACCAAGATTATTGCTGTTTGATTTATCTTGATTATTTAAATAAATATTCATATTGAATAAAATAAAATAATAAATCATAAAAATAAATTCTGTAATATTTCAGTTTACCTTCATGATGCTTCTCAATACTAATATTTTTGGCCGTATTATTAGGGAAATCCAATTGTTCTAAATAGTT